GCGTCCTAGGCCCGCCCCCAAGTGGACGCCGCGCCTGCGCCGTTTCCTGCAGACCCGGAAGCGTATCCGCGAGATAATCGGGACTCAGGTGAGTGAATTTCCGTTCTTCTGGTTCGGCTCTGCACGTCGTCGGACCCCCTTCATTTTCCGCAACTCGACTTCGGGGTTCGAAGCCTAGGTCAAAGTCTCGGAGCCTGTCCTCTCTCTCGCTGTCAGGTCGTCTCTGTCCCGCGTCACCCTGAGCTCCTCGAGTCCGGCGCCGTGTGGGGCGCGGCCGTCCGCGCGCTTTCGCCCCGCTCCCCGTCTCCCTCACTGGTCGGTGGCCGCACGGTGTTCGACGCCCTCGGGCAGAGCGGAAGCGGGGGGGGGAGGGCGCCATGTGGCGTTTGCGAGCTGTCGGAAAGTTTCTGGAGAAAGGACGGCAGAGTGGGAGAGCGGACAAGCAGCTGGAGGAAGAATAGACAGGAGAGAGAGAAGTAGAAATGCAGAGAGGGAGCGGGACAATGGGAAAAAAGAAACAAGGAGAGAGACGTTTCCAGAGAGAAGCACGCAGTAGAGAAAGGATGAGACCTGCATGTCAGTGAGAGTTGAGCTGATTGGTTGTGGAACATTAAGTTGTGAAGCAGTGGTTTGTACGTTACACAGAAGCGTATGAGAATTTAGAAACCATTTGTGTTTCTAAAGGTACTGGCTCTTCTAATTACTGCCAGTTCTAGTTCTAATATCGTAGCAGACGACACCGTGCGCAGCCCCTTATGCATCCTGCAGGCCGACCTCTGAGTCAGTTCCAGGTCTTCCTCTTTGCGCAGAAAGTGAGAGAGAGGCCAGACCCTCTGACACCACCTGGCGCTTTTTCAAACGCATGTGAACTCTATTTAGTTCCCACCGTTTTTCTGAGTTTGATATTTTCCCAAAGTTTTTTCCCCTCTAACGTCTATCGTTTAGATGATGAGATTGAAATGCATTCTATTCTTTATCATACATTGAAACTTTCGTATCTTAGCTGATTTGACAGTGCTTCACTGTGCGTTGGTGTGAATGTTGATAATCAAAACGTTATGTAACCAGTTATTTTATACTCAGTGCCCTTCCTGTGTCATTTAATTAGTAAGCTCAAGTCTCCAAGTAAGTAGTTACAATATACCCCTCAAGTCTGCTTTGTCCTTTTTGTGCAAGTGTGGAATTATGGGCTGAATTAATGTGGCGTTTTCTTCCAACAGAGCTCATCTGTTCATAATGATGAAGAGATTGCTCTACAATTGAAATTCCTGCCTGTTTCCCAGGAATGATAGCTACTTACAATTTCATGTTTAAATATTTTTCTGGGAAAGAGAAATTGAATGCCTGATACTGACTGAACTTAAATATAAACCTAAAATATGTGCTTCTCTGACTCAGGAATATCAAGGAACTCTTGAATAAAGACAGATCCGTTCTACTGCCCTGTCCAGCCTTTTCAAATTTCAGTTTTACCAAGCTCTTACTCAACTTAGACCTTTTCAGGGTAACTTAATGGAGTCATTCATCATGAGGAATTCCGAGTCTAACCAAACGAGATCCTTGAAATGATTTTCAAAATTGGGACTGTTTGCAGTGGCAATTTTTTGAGAGCAGGTGCCCAGTTAGAATCTGAAATGATTCTCAGCCCTCCAAAAATGATGAACATTAAGAAAGAGGCAGAACCATAAGCTCTAAGACCAAAAAAAGTTGCCCACCTTAATACCTTTCTCCTTTCCTTTTCTCTCTCCTTCCTGCCTCTTTCTGAATCAGGAGTAAGTTTTAAATTTTATTGTGTTATCTGTCTCCTGGCATTAAATTTTTCTATGGTTTCCCCGAACCCCCCAAACAAAAATCTAAACTCGGTATAGCAGTAGCAGTAATTCTGGAGCTGGGATGGCTCTTCAGAGTTAGTCCTAATTGAAGGAAGAGACAAGCTCTTCAGTTCAATATTGATAGTCAGTGCTGGCTACACAGCTAGAGGCCATGAACTTAGAGGAAGCAGTTCCTTTGGCCAAATACGCAGTATTCAGAATACAGTGGAAGCCAGACATGTGCATATTTCTTAAAAGGGGAGGGGTATTTGGACTATGAGTGAAAAAAATCTCATTCATCAGTGTATGTGAGTTTATTGTTCCTCATTCCCTCTTACAATGGGCAGCAGATGACGATCTTTTCCCCATACTTAGTTTCTCCATGTGTGTGAAAAAAAATCCATTTGCTTTAGTTTTCCTACCTCTTCCCTGATCAGTCAACGTTTTCTCTGCTTGTGTCCCCTGAATCCTGTTCTCTAAATATGACAGTGTCCCACGCTTTACCCTTGAAGCTCTTCTCGATAATACCCACCTTTCTTTTTCACCTTCTTTATGGCTTTGACACCATACGTATATCTCCATTTACCCTGCAGACCTCTCCCAGGAACTTAGAATCCTGTGTGCATGTATCACCTAAACTCTACTGGGACATCCAACAGGTACCTCTACCTTCATAGTCCTCATGTGACTTCCTGAGCTCCGCAAATGATGTCCTGTATAGTCCTATCTCAGGTAAGGGAGACGCTGCCCTTCCTGGGGCTTAACTGAACACTTTGCATGTATTTTAAATATGGGAAGGATTGTAACATGTGTAATTGTTTTCATCTAAAGTAGAAAGCAAAATCACATCTTTACATCAGATGTGTGGCAAAGACCATCATTTCCAAAATTCATTTCAGACATGGAGAGAAATATTAGATCTCAGCCATGCCTGCTCTGCTTCCAGAAGTCCCTCCCTGCCTTCCTCTCCTGCAGTATCCTCCTCCCTGTTCACACTGCTCGGGTCATGCAGGACTCTTGCCTTTCCCTGAGGACACTGTAGCTCTGGCCTCAGGACTTTCCTGGGTTCTGTCTCTGCTTAGAGCTCACTAGCATGTCAGCTGCAGGTGGCAGACAACTTCCTTCCCAGGTCTTTGATCTGATACCAGTGTCTCCACAGAGACTTCTGTGATCTCTCCACCTTCCTGTGACACCCTAACTGCACGCTCACTCCCACCTCTGGTCCCTGTCCACTGCTCTGCAAATTTCTTTCTGATCCTTCCCATTCCACTGTCTGGATCCTGGGGGCAGCAAGGCTCCAAAAGGAGAGCTGAGCTAGAAGGTGGGAGGTGGGCTGGGCTTGTCCTCTTGGCTCAACCCCGGCTTCCCATTGGAGTGCTCAGGTGTTTTGCAAGTAATTCTCCTGTGGCCCCTACCAGAGAGTCCCTTTCCCTTGGTCAGCCTGGGACCAAGCCTTAATATATTAAAGTGGATTCTGTTCTCTGCACAGCACTGAACACCCAGACTGCCTCCTGCATTTCTAAGGGCTGAGATCAGCTGTGATCCACGGAGGAATGAGGAGATGTGCGTGGGTCTGGTCAGGGCTGGGACTGTGTCCTGGAGGAGAACTCGGTGCAGCCCAGCTCCCCACTGCTGCTGGGTGTTGGGGCTTCACCAGGAGGGGCACACTCTGAAGAAGTGTCAGGGACGTCTCTGGTTGGGCCTCCTGCAGGAGCTGCGTTCCACTGCATCCCCACCCTCAGGGCAGTGGGCAGCAGAGGACCCATCTTTCCACATGGCGAGGTTCTCTTTTGTGAGTGTGGCTGTATTAGGGGAAGGGGATGTGTTCATTTTGAGCATTAAGCACCGTGTTTTTGATATTCAGGATTAACTTTTAAAGACTCTTGTTACATAAGGAAGAAGCCTGAAAAAGGAAGAAGAGGAAAGAAAAAGTCAGAAATGGCTGTTACTCAGGTAAAGCAGTGATCTCATTTGTTGTTCCCCCCTTTGGGAAGTGCTGGATGTGGGACTGCTGATGTCCCAGAACCCTGCAGCCTGCTGTGTCTGCTGACACTCACCCGGCCATCCTCAGCCTGGCTCAGCCCCACTAAGACTCCATCTCACTGGGACCAGTGACGTGGATCATGTGAGGAGGCTCCATTGGTTGTGGTTCTGGGAAGTAACTACCATTTTCGCTGATCTTTCCAAAAAGTTAGTATTTTATTGTTTAATGTGTCTGCTGTGTTATTTAGCTCTGCCCTGATATTCATTCTTTCCTTCCTTTTGCTTTATGTTAATTTAGTTTCTTCTTTTCTTGATTGAGGTATAAAGTTTGTTTATTTGAGTTTGTTCTATGTTCTGGACTTAAAGTTTTACTACCTTAGACTTCTTACTGTGAATTTATTACATAAGTTTCAGTATATTTGTTTTAATTTTGCTTTCTGAAATCTTGTCCTACTTTTACGTGTTGGTTATTTGAGAGTGTTTAATTTTCACATACTTGTCAGATTTTATATATCCTCAGCTCTTGATTTCTGCATTCATTCCATTGTGCACAAAAAATTAGAATGATTTCAAGTTTCTTAAACTTATTTAAAGATTTGTTTTAACCTAACCTGTGCTATATCAAGTAGAAGTTCCTGTGTGTTTTAGAGGAAGTAGTTTCTGACGTTGTTGGATAGAGTGTTCTCTGCAGGTCTGCAAAGGCTATAAGCTGCATAGTGTTGTTGAAGCCCTCTGTTTATTTCTTGATCTTCTGTCTGGTTATTTTTTCCATAAATGCTTATAGAGCATGAAGTGTCTCCCAAGTATTGTGCTGCTCTCTAATTATATCCGTGTTTCCTTCATACACTGGAGTAGGTTGATGTTGGGCTCATACTTGTAATTATATCTCCTGGGGTGCCTGCCCCCTTAATAGGTAAAGTTCTTTTTCTCTTTTGACAATTTGTATCCTAAAGGCTATATTTTAAAACACAAGAGTGGCCACCCCTGTTCTTTCTAGGTTTCCATTTACATTTCCTTTGCCGTCTTTTCACTTTTAGCCTGTGTGAGTCCTTTGAACAAAAGTGGATCTCTTGTTCACAGCATGTAGTTTGATCTTGATTTCTTTTCCTCTCCAGTCATTGTATGTCTTTTAATTCAGGCCTTAATTCATTCAAATTGGACACAGTTATTCATAGTGAAGGGCTTGTATAACCTTATCTGGAGTTTTATGTGTTTTTAAGCTTTTGTTTTTTCTGTTCTTCTTTCATTGTAACTTCATGGTCTTCCTTTAGAAATTCTTGGGCTGTGCAAGTTGCTGCATTTGAGTAATCCCACCTACTCTGGAGGCTGAGGCAGAAGGATCCCAACTATGTAGCAAACCTGGAGAAATCAGTGAGACCCTATCTAAAATAAATAAGACAGAAAGTAATTGAACTGTCTTAATTTGTATCTAGGCCCTCTCAAATTCTCCATTTTATAAGGACAGTTTTGCCTGGTGGTGTATTATTAACTGGCGCTGTGTTCCATCAGCGCTGTGAATGTATCATCAAAGCTAGCAGAGTTTCTGCTGAGAGATCTCCTGGCACTACTAGAAGCACACTCTTAGCTGGGAAGTCACTTTCTCTTGCTGTTGTCAAGCCTTTTTTTGTCTCTGGCTTTTAATAGTTCCATTATGATGTGTTTTGGTATAGATCTTTTAAATTGTTCTGGTTGGATTTCTCCAAGCTGTTTGAATTTGTATGTCCACCTTTCTCATATTTGATAAACTTGGGACAATCTTAATTTCAGATAAACTCTCTACCCTTTTCTTCCTCTTGTGAAATGCATATGATGAAGACTTTCTTATAAGTCCCTTAAGCCTTTCCATTTTCTTCATTTTTCCCCCCTAAGGGATGAAGAGTTCCAACCTCTTACATGTTTTCTGAGGTTTTTCCCAAGGGCAGTTGGTTGCTGTGTTATTAAATTCTTGTTCCCATGAAGGAGGTAACACCCAGAGCTTCCTGCTCCTCTGTCTTGCTGACATCATTCCTTCAGAATAGTTGCATAATGCTTTTCACGGATCAGGGAGTGTCTTTTACTTAAGTGCCATGATAGATTTGCTAATGGAAATGTAAGGTGTGTCAGGTGTACGTGTCGTGTGCATGTGTGTTTCATGAGAAATGATGAGGGAGGAAGATTATTTTCATTGCTTTTAGTTGCTATATTTAAGTAACATTTTTTTTTCCAGGTTATAGTCAGGGTATCTGTTCATTTTTTAAAAATTCAGCTGTTTTCTGTTTTCCACCTTTAATTTCTTTACTGATCCCAGCTCAGGCATTTTGTGCATTAGTGATGGGCTGGAGCCTGAACAGCCCTCTTTTCTCCTTCACTAGGAGGAAGTGCATCCAGTGCTTGCTGTCAGTCATGGTGTTCGGCGAAATGTGCCTGGTAAATATCAGGCTCAGTAGTTTTACCTTTTCAAGTTACATTCTTTTGGCTGCTTTTAAATTTTTCAGTAATTCTTTAAATATTTCTGCATTACATACTTTTTCTGTTGACCTGTTAAATTCATTATATTATTAAAAAATTTCTGGGCTGGGGATATAGCTTTGAGATAAAGTTCTTGCCTGAGTTGTGTGAAGCCTTGGGTTTGATGCCTGTACCACACTTTTTCAAAAAACTCCTAATCTTACAGTTTTATTAAACTAATGAATTCCATTGGACTTTTGGTAATGCCTAGATATCTTAATTTAAATGGGTAAAGTTGTGAATATATTTTTCGTATGAATATTTAGTAGGGATTGGAGTTCTAGTCCCATTATATAAGTTTTCATGTTGTACTGTTTTAAATATCCTAATAAACACTAGTATTTTATGCTTTTTACTTTTTCATTATCCCTATATGCTGAATGATGATAAAATAAAAAAAATCATTCAGAGAGAGTCCTTTTCAATTTGTTGATTTAAGTGTAATGCGTGTTCATGAGTATATGGATATACAATTCCATGGTCTTTATTAGGTCACATTATTATTCTTAATATGTATTTTAATTTTTTTTGCAATGTTTTAGCTCAACTGTAGGGCCTCATGGATGTTAGGCAAGTGCTCTACCACTGAGCTACATCCCAACCCCAAGATTCAGTTTTTGAATAGTAGTAGAAACTATGTCTTGGATCACTTCCTTTTCCTTAAATCACTACAATATCTTGATAATGTATTGGTAGCAGTGAGAAAAATGTAATATGTGTGCATGTGTGTTTGTGTATAAATAAGGAGCGTTTATACCGATTCATGACATTATCCTGAACTCGTTTTCAGTTTTCTCATTTAGGGAATCTAATGTCACTTTGTATTTGATGCTATATCTCTCGCTGAACTGTTTGATTCTTTAGCTTTAATTCTGATTCCCAGGCATGTAGGTTCAGCTGTGTGCTCTGCCATTTTTAGTTCTTTGACCTGAGGAGAGTCTTTAAGTGTGATGTAGTTTTTTCCATATTAAGAGGGAAACATTTCTCTTGAGGGCTACTATGTTTTTCTATGAATTACATAAGTAAGGCAGTTAGAATGATATGTAGTACCATAAGTGTCTAGAAGCTTTAGCTGTTATTATTGTTGTCATTATCGTGGTTTTAGATTCTGATCTATCTTTCGTTTTTTTGGTACCGGGGATCAAACTTGGGACCTTGGGCTGATCTGTCTTTCAAGCTGCTGTGCACTGTCATTTCTCAACACAGGACTCATCCTCTGGCTCATATAGATACTGAGTATCACTTTTCATAGAGAAAACCCTGTGCTGTTTTTTCATTTGTGAGTTTCTTATATTGTCCACAAAATGAGAAATCTGTATTTGATTTAAAATATATTATAACCTCATGTAAAAGTATAACACAACCCAATAATAAAGATACAACATGCTGAAAAATACCCTATATTATATAAATATGTAGGAAAGACAAACTTACTCCTATGCATTTGCCACACAGAAAGTTGTGACTGCAGATGTGAGAATTTTTCTCCACATACCAAGCAAGCAATTCTGTGAGGGATGCTTTCTAATTCAATCTGATTCTGACACTGTGTATGTAGAAATAGCCTAGATCCCACTGTTGAAGCCTCAGACCCACAGAAGTTTTCCTACTTCAGATGACAGCTACAGGCAGACGCTGCAGCCTATGGTTCTGAATGACCAGCTATAAATGGGGGTTTCCATTTCTACGACCTCATTCTGGGATTCTAAGAATTTGCTATAGCATCTCACAAAAACCAGCGAACACTTACCCATAGCATTTCTTATAACATTTGTTAAAAAGCTGAACACCCAGATAGAAAAGATGCATAGGGTAAAGTATAAGAGAAAGAACACGGTGTGTCCGTGCCTTCTGTGGATGCTTTACCTTCCAGAAACTTCTAGACATCCATCCGATTGCTTCTTTGAACCTGTCCTTTTGAGTTTCAATGAAGGCTTATGGCATAGTAGGACAGTTCAGTGTTATACCCAAGTATGACAGTTCAGTGTCACAGCCAAGTGCTCCAGCTCAGTGTTCTAGCTCTGGGTTGTAGCTACCTCACTTTGAAGACTTGTGGATCTGAAAGTCACTTGAAGAGGTGGCGTAAAAAACCCTGTATTACACCAACAGGCTCAGAGTTTGTAGTCTAAAATCTGAACGCCCAGCAGAAATGGGAGCTTCCTTATATAGATATCTACGAGGTAGGCGAGAATGCTCACTTATGTAGGGGGCAGAGTTACAGAACATTCCTGAAACACATTCTGGGCAGCATGCTCACAAAAGCAGAGGGCTAGAGTTAACAGAACATTCTTGAAAGGTCACAGTTCAGACAGTTACAAAACATTTTGATACATTGGGCAGGAGCCCAAGCAGTACAGACTTAACATTTCTGGGACAGAACGTTTTGTGGGAAAAAACATGGAGGCAAGGCAAGGACCTGTCTTATTGTGTATTATTGTTCTATCAATATCATTGAATTGCTGATCAATTCAAATATTAGACATCTTCCCTTCCCTGGAGTGAATGTCAACAGTCTAAGACTACCTAGGTCTTCATGATGAGCAGCACCTGTCCTGAGGCTGCCTGGGGACCTCTGGCCACAATTTAACCTCATTGGCATATAAAACCATCTTTATCACCAGAGATTCAAAGTGAGCTATGTCAAGAAACTCCTGACATCACAGCATAGACCAAGCGCATTCGTTCCAGTTGAATCAGCCATTACATTTATCTTCATTTTGTGTGGAGATTATAACTTTGGCCAGTTCCTCGTGGTGATGTATGGTTTTCATTTTAGGGTCTGTTGACATTCAGGGACGTGACCATAGAGTTCTCCCAGGAGGAGTGGGAAGACCTGGCCCCTGCTCAGAGGACTTTATACAGGGACGTGATGTTGGAGAACTACAGGAACCTGGTCTCCCTGGGTGAGGGTGACTTCCTTCCAGAAGTCAGATCTACTCTGTGTGTCTGCGTTTTCCCCTGTGTCTTCATGGAATCTTCTGTATTGTTTGATTGAGATAGATACCCTGTTGCCTCTGAAATGTGAAGCTTCAGCATATGGCATCTGGACCTTAAGGTGATCTTTCTTCAGGTGTTCTGCCTCCATTGTGATAGATATGTCACTAGTGGTTCCGGAGCCTTTTAGCAGACTTTTAAAATAAACCAGTTTCCTGTATTTTATCCCTGTGCTTTTGAATCATTGGTCCTTGGATGAGAGCTAGATATCTACAAGGAACAGTGAAATATTTGCCTAGATCACTCTGTAATCTCCTTCTCAAGTAAACAGGGCTTTAGTCTGGAAAATCCACCACATATCACACACCTTTCTTTTTCCAAGCAGGAAGCTCTCCTTTTGACTTGAACATTGTCTCCATGTTGGAGCGAGGAGGAGAGCCCTGGAGTGTAGATGACCAGGTGAAAGTGTCCAGAAACTCAGATTGGTGGGAATGTGTCAAAGGTGTGACCACAGGTAAGAGCTCAGATGGGCAGAGGAAGCTGCAACATTAAAGAGTGTTTGGGAAACTTTGGTAGTAGAAGTCTGTGGGAAAAAAGTTTACTTCCTCTGCTCTCAGAGAGTAGGCTTTTCTTTACCATCATTTGTCATTGAGCACTGGATGGCAGGTTCTTTTACCTGACAGTTGTGCTGCATCTTTGAGAAAAAGCTAGCATCTCCGTCATGGAGGATAATGCTGTGTCATTGGTGTCTGTGAACTCTTCAGTTTCCAACTCTGCTGTGTGGGAAGGGTCCTTTTGTGTCTCTTGTATGACTTCTGTTTTTGAGTCCGTCTGATGCTCAGTTCTCCATAAACATCAGAAGTCTGTGTCATCCTGATCCCTACACCATGCTCCATGTCCATGTTTGACCCCATTTCTGTGCTTAGAAGATCTAGTTGGGAGATGGGAAACCATAGCTTCTCATCCTTACTCCTGAGACCCCAGAAACCACACTGAGCTGACCCATCTGTCTCTCCCTGCTGTGCTTACTCAGCCCTTTCTTGCATCCTGCTTTTAACACTTCTCAGCTATGTGTAATGAGAGTGTGTTAGATCTTCTGTGATTGTTATTCTTCAGAACTGTAAAAAAGTAGGCAACAGGCTGGTCTTGTCTTTGATCAGTGGTCCTCTGTGGGGAGCACGTACTCAGTCTTTCAGGCTCTTAGCATGAGGTATGTGGACAGAACAGATTTCCATCTCAAGGTCCTCCCAAATCCTTCTGTTCTGTGTATTAGCTTTTGCTCTCTTCCACTCCTCTTACTAGTCTGTGAATGTAGAAAAACCTAGATTGTTATTTTCCTTTTCTTTTTCTTTTTGTGATGTTTTGCTTGTGCTATTTATTTCTTTTTGTTTCTTTTTTGATACCAGGGATATAACCTAGAGTTACCCTACCACTGAACTATATCCCTGACTTTTAAAATTTTTTCTTTTTTCAAATAGGTTCTTTCTGTGTTGCCTAGGCTGGAATTAAGCTTGCATTGCTCCTGCCTCAATTTCCAAAGTAGCTGACACACAGTTAAATTTGCTTTTGACACAAATTTCTGTGGTCGAATTCCTAGGGTCTTTTTCTTATGTGATAACCCACTTTGAGGTTACTTGTAGCTTCTTGTGGACTATTCCATCGAGTGCATGCATTTATATAACAATTCATGAGGGAGAGTAGTTTGTCTTGTATGTTTGACTCTCATTCTCCCACCTGCCAGGTGTCCCTGAAAACCCTGACTGTGGTTCTCAACCTGTCTCAGGATACAATAAACCGTAGAAACCACACTGAGCTGTCCCAGCAGATACAAATGTCAGTAGCTCTTGACTGAGCCTTATTTCCAGCTGCCTTCGGTTTTGAGGATTGTCACAGAATTGTATTTCTGTGGCATCATGACAGTGTTGGCCACGTATGGTGACAGTCATCTCCTTTGAGCCAGCGATCAGTGACAGAGAAATCTCTTAACAACACATTTCTCAGGTTCATGGTCTTATGCATGAGACTTTGCAGTAAACTATCATTGTCTGAAGTTCGTGAAGATGCATTTTTGAGTTAACACAGAATGACTGTTTCATTCCCTATCTTTCTCTCCGTCTGAGTTTCCTGTGATGTTCACCTGGTCCCTGTTACCCCATCTTTGGTGCTGTCCTCTTCTCCGGCTCTCATTTGCTGCTTATGCTGTTGACTGTTCTGCTCATTTGGCTGCCACTAATAGTGATACTACGGAAAGTCATTTCCACTAGGGGTCATTTACTTATTTCCTCCATAAGGTTACATGTGTTTTCCTGGTAACATTTATGAAGTCGAATATATTAATTTTGTATAAGTTCATGTTTATATTCATTCATTCATACCGACAACTCTATAATAAGGACATTGGATCCAGTCCTTTTCTGGGGAGGTTTTTGGTGACTGACTCAACTTCTTTGCTGTTGATCTCTTTTAGATTTTCTACTTCCTTGTTCTTGTGTATTACTAAACTTTAATCAATTTTTTCTTGGTCATCATATCTGTTGTACAATACTGTTTCTTTCTATTTGCAAAGAGCCATTCGGTTGTAAAGCCCCATCTCTTCTTTCTGCTTTTAATTTAGTCTTTTCTCTTCTCTTAATCTAGCTATGAGTTTAATAAATTTTCTAGGACTTTTATGTGTAAAACCTCATAGTTTCAGGATTCTCTAGTCCTATTTCGTATTTAGTATTTTTCAGCTCTATCATTTGTTACAGTAGTTGTCCATTATTGTGTGGCCTACATTCCAAGACCCCAGGTAAAGAACTGTATATGCAAATGGTACCAAATTCTGTATATACTGTGCCTTTTCTTATGCATACATAACTAAGATAAGGTTTTACTTTTTTTGTACCATGGATCAAACTCAGGACCTTGTGCTTGTCCATTGAACTACATCCCTGACCCTGATAAGGTTTTACTTTCAAATGAGGCACAGTATAGTATTAAGTGCTGCTAACAATAGACTATGAAAAACTAATAGGTGACTTGTCTCTTTCTGGTCTCTCAGAACATTTTTTTGCCATGATTTCACTCTTCTTGCAATGAGAAATGCCCATTTGCTCTGAATGACACAGTCATTATGACATAAGGTCAGGCCATTACTGGCCTTCTGGCAACAAATGATAAGGCAGATCTTCTGCCTTGGGTTGTCCTTGATCATTAAGTCATGGCATGACAATGCTTGGGGATCCTCAACAGTTGCTAGCTTCTTTCATCTGTTGTTTTTGTTTTGCTTTTCAATTTCACTAACAATATTAAGGTAGACTTCACGCTAGACTTGTTTCTTCAAAGCTTTCTCTGTCTACTTAGCCAAAGAATCATCACTTTGTACCCATTTCCATCCAAGATTGCTGTACTCTTGATAAAAGATAAATTGATTTTGTGTGTGGGAACAGAGTTAATTCACCATTTTCTCTTCTTGGCTATTTCAAGATTTTTGCTTTCATATCCTGCTTAGAACATTTCTGCACATAATCTTTTAGAATATATATTTTGTTAAATATATACCTAGAACTTACGTGTCACTCACCATGATAAATTTCATTAAAGGTATTTTAGGAGATGTGAATCTGCCTTCTTCCACACCATCACACTGCTATCCTATTAACTCTTTTGCATTCCCCCCACACACATACCTGAACTCTTATTCCCAGAGTTACAAATAGGACAGTTTTATGCCTCTTGCTGCATGCATTTCCCTAGTGCAGTTGCATTCCCACAGATTTACCAGCACAAACTCTGCTCCCTCATGCTCATTACTCCCTGCCCTCCATGCTAGCTTTCCCTATAGTATCGCTTGATGTGGATGCACTGTACTATTGCTGCTTACTATACATCTGTTCTTCTACACATTCAGATTTGCAAAGGACTCCCACACTAACCTTGCAGTGTAAGGAAAGACACCTGCTCAGCCTTTAGATGTTCTCATGACACTACGTAAATCAGTGTGTGGTGTTGTTGACTTAGATGACATTGTCTGTGAGGGATGGCTGAGTGACACACATAGCTGAGCTCTTCTCTTTCCTTTGAAATGTTACTTTCCATGCTTCTTGTATTTACTGTGACATCTTATATTATGTACTGCCTGTGTAAATAGGTATTCTTGACAACATGTCTCAGCTTGCAGGCCAAAAATTAAATCCTGTTTCTCTCACTAATAATCTGTAAATCAGTTAGGAACATATGTTATTTGTCCTGGTGTCCTTAATGAAAAAATAATGGCAAATTACCTCCAATTTTTTAAATACTTAGTGTTTTGAAATTGGTAAGTGTAATGGCTATTTTATAGTAAATACTTTAATATTCTTTGTTCATAAGGCTGATCAACCTCTTTTTATGATGATAGATACTTTTCATGTCTAATTTATCTCTGTCTTCCATTAGAAATACCATAAACTAGTATGCTTAAACCACAAAATGTTATTCTCAAAAATTTGGGGGCTGAAAATTCTAAGTTACCCACTGAATTAGTTTATGTAATATAAGATTTTGGTAATAGTTTGTTTGAAATTGAACATTTCTGCAGTTGATTTGAATTACATGCAATCAAACTTTTATTGAAATCTATTCCTTTCATTTTCCTGAAAATTGAAAATCATAAATTTTTATAAGTCTTCAATATAAGTACTATTTCTTTTGGAGTAATGTCATGTGTTTCCATAACAGAATTATTTATCATCTATAATCAGAACCTGGTGGTTTCTTATATTTCATAGATACCTCTCCTAAATCTGTCATCAAGGAATTTCCTCCAAAAAGAAAAAGTGATACAGGAGAAATGTTCCAGACAGTAATGTTGGAAAAACATAAAATCCATGACATTGAAGAATTGTGCTTCAAAGAAATCCAGAAAAATATACATGACTTTCAGGGCCATTGCAGAGAGGGTGGAAGATTTGACATAGGATTCTGTGTGACTCACAAGGAAAATCTCAATGGTAGAAGAGATGACTGTGGTAGAAAGGATACAGGAAAGAAACATGTTAAAAATTGTCTCGGATTAAGCTTTCAATCACATCTGCCTGACCTGCAGCTATATGCAAAAGAAAGGAACATTTATGAGTGTAATTATATTGAGCAGTCTATCAACATTGATTCCTCGCATTCATGCCACGAAAGTAATTCTTCTAGTGTCAAAACAAACATTTCTCATGAATATGAAAATGATTTTATTGATTGTTTGTTTTTCACACAAGAACAGGACATGCACATTAGTACAAAACCTTATGGATGGAATGACTGTGGCAAATCTTTTAACCAAGGCCCACTATTTACTATGTATCAGATAGTCCTGGAGGGAGAGAGAGAAATTATATGTGATATATGTGGCAAGATCTTCAATCAGAAATCAAATCTTATAAATCATCGGAAGATTCATACAGGTGAGAAACCATACAAATGCAATGAGTGTGGAAAAGTCTTCAGTCGTATTTCTCACCTTGCACAACATCAGCGAATTCATACTGGAGAAAAACCTTTCAAATGTAATGAGTGCAGCAAGGTTTTCAGTCACAAGTCATACCTAGCAAATCATCAGAGAATCCATACTGGAGAGAAGCCTTACAAATGTAATGAATGTGGTAAAGTCTTTAATCAAATTTCACACCTTGCAAATCATCGTAGAATTCACACTGGAGAGAAACCATACAAATGTAATGAATGTGGCCAACTATTCCATCAAATTTCACACCTTGCCCAACATTGAACAATTCACACTGGAGAGAAACCTTTCAAATGTAATGAATGTGGCAAAGTCTTTAGTCGCAGTTCTTACCTTGTACAACATCTGATAATTCACACGGGAGAAAAACCTTATAAATGTAGTGAATGTGGCAGTCTTTAACCATATTTCACACCTTGTACAACATCATAGAATTCATACAGGAGAGAAACCTTACAAATGTAATGAATGTGGCAGTGTTTTCAGTCATAAGTCATCCCTAGCAAATCATCAAAGGATCCATACTGGAGAGAAACCTTACAAATGTAAAGAATGTGGTAAAGTGTTTAGTCGTAATTCTTATCTTGCAGAACATTTGATAATTCACACTGGAGAGAAACCTTTCAAATGTAATGAATGTGGCAAGGTATTCAGTCGCAATTCCCACCTTGCATGTCATCGTAGCATTCATACTGGAGAAAAACCTTATAAATGTAATGACTGTGGGAAGGTCTTCAGTCAAAACTCATATCTTGCATGTCATCAAAGAATCCATACTGGAGAGAAACCTTACAAATGTAATGAATGTGGCAAAGTGTTCAGTCTAAACTCATCTCTGGCGCATCATCGGAGAATTCATACTGGAGAGAGACCTTATAAATGCAGTGACTGTGACAAAGTGTTCAGTCTAAACTCATCTTTAGCACATCATCGGAGAACTCATACTTGAGGAAAACCTTAGAAAATGTAAACAGTGTCTGAAGATCTTTAGTCAGATTTGACAGCTTGTGCATAGGATCACTTCAGGAGTGAAATCTTACAAGTTCATTGAGTGTTACAAAGCTGTTTGTTTAAGCCTTACTAAGCATGTAGTCCATACTGGAAAAAATATCTCAAGGTCTTCTATGACAGTTCCTAAGTTGGACTTCATTGGAGATTTCATCCCAGAAAGAAAGCTGAGAAGTGAATGAGGCAAAAGTCTTCAGTCAGTGTTCAAGCCTAAGAAGCTTTGGATTCCTGCTGGAAAGATAATTTTCATGTATTGTAAGTGAGACAGGCCTTGAGTTATCGTTTAACATTATCATTTAACACATAACCATATGCTAATCCATAGTGGAGAGAAACCTTACCGATGTAACAATGCCTTAAGGTGAAAATGTGACATTAGCATTCACCAAAAAATTCATAGTTGAAGAAAACCTCACAAAGGAATAAGAATGGCAAATCTGTGATTATGCAGTCAGGCCTCAGTACACTAGTGTATCCACAAAAATGTAATCAGTTTTGCAAATCCTCTTTTCACTGCTTACACTTGAAGACATATCAGATAACCCATGCTGAAGAGACATTGTAGAAATGTGATGAATGTGCAAATTCAAACCTCGCATAACACTGGATAATTTGTACATGGATGATGTTTTACAGATGCAATGAGGATGGCAAAACCATCATGAATTCAAGCAATATCCCAATGAGTACTAAAGAACAACTTATTAAAAACCATAATACATGTACAACAGACTTCTAGCTCTCAGAATTCACTAGGGCATCAAATGATGTCTTGAGGAAGCCATACAAGGGCAATGGGCATAGTAAGGCTTTTTATCCAAGCACCAGAACTATAGAATAGTTGAACTGGGGAGAAACCTTACAGATGTAATTAATATAGTCTTTTGTGAAATATTGATTTTGTGGTCATAAAAGAATTTGTAGAGTGAAACCAGATAAATATAGTGAGCTTAGAAAGTTCACTTTTGCCAAGTGCAGTAGTACATACCTATAGTCCCAGCACATGGGAGGCTGAGGCAGGAAAATAACCACAAGTTCGAGGCTAGCCTGGGCTGCATAGTTAAGGGCCAGCCTGAACTGACCCTGTCTCAAGTTTTCAAAGATGTATCTTCATGATTCACCAAAGAATTCATATTGCAAAGAGCTCTTACACTATAATGTAATCCTCAAATGTACTCCATATCACAGAATTTATATGAATAAGTCCCTTTCCAAAGTGAAACTTTTTGTCTTGCACACTGCAGAATAATTACAAGTTAAACTATATTAACATCCTGATAATACATCAAAGATGGGAGGATATTGGTAAATGGCCAAATACTTTCATATTATAAAATAACTGCATTCCTTGAGTTTTTTTGAAATGATATGTATATTTGAATTTTAATCTGAACTTTAAAACCTATTGAAATACTTTTCTTACAGGCTTTTCATAGAGGTGTCTTCAAAGGCATCAGTAAAATGAAAGGCTTAACCTCAAAGTGAGAAACACTCTTGGCCATGTTCCTTTGGAACAAAGACACTGCCTTTTTAAATTGTTGTTTATATTAAAGAGTATTTGGGCCTGATGTCATGGTACACGCTTATGATCCTAGCCTCTTGGCAGAATGAGGCAGGAAGAGTACATTTGTTGCCAATCAGGGAACTAGTGAGATCCTGTGAAACTAAAAAGTTTCTGTGTGAAACTAAAATACAAAGGACTGGGGATATGGTTCAGTGGTAAACTGTTTCCATAGCATATTCAAGAAGCTGTGTTCAGTTGCCAGTACAAAAGCAAACAAACGAAATACAAGTGCTATCTGGGTCCAAGAACTTCATTCATTGCATGATTCTGGCAAGCATGGCCACATTCATATTTGTATGGGTAAGATGGCCCTTGTCGTGTTTGTCACCCAACGCAGAATTGACAAAATTTTTCCAAATGCTTCTTTCTGGGAACCAAATCGTTGGCAAGCAAAAGCATGTATGAACAAGGGTACCACGTGTGTGTGTATATATATATATGTATATATATATATATGAGGCTGGGAGTGATTTACAATTGTACCAGTCACCTGCTGCTCCATTAATTTGCCAGGAAACGTAAAAGAAATGTCTGCCTCCACATTGAGAGGTTACATGACTCAGACAAGTGCAGCTTGGCAACAAATTCAGTTTGTGAGGGGTCACACATAGCAGAGAACATGCACACTGCAGCACTTCTGAAGTTTCTAATTGCCTTCAGGAAGCTACTGAGTTTATAAGGCCGTGGCATTCTCAACAAAGCGGGTGAAAAACACTAGAGCCCTTGGGACTGTGTGTTCTCCATTCCCATCCCATCCCTTTGACAGACTCTCCCGGTCTTAGCAAGCCCTGTAAGGCCAGTTTGTGGGCCTTGTTATGCTGCAGTCTGCCACACAGTCTTGGCACCTAGTGAGGACCCACTGGAAAGTTGCAGTGACTCAAGACAGTATGTGTCACTGCCTTTATCATTTCACCCTTGGGAATTCTCTGTGCTGCAAAGGGTGTGCCCTGATTGAAAAGCCACCCCTATTCCTTACCTGTGAATGTCAAGATCCAGATTCTCCAAGGCAGGGCTGTTAAGTAAGGATGAAGTTGGTTCAGAATGAATTTAGGACTTTAGCAGATTCCTTGGTGGCCATCACCATCTGTCACTTATACCTAAGAACCTTTCCTTCACAAGCTCCTAGCTTTGTTTACCTTTTGGTAGGGCTGACACGAGTCACTTCTTAATTTTTGTGCTTTCTGTGTATTACCCCCTTGTCCTTATGAGAGTTTCGCTGTAAGCATCCCTGATTATTATTTCTGCTGTATATCATCTCTTGAATGTTTTTCCATTCATTAGTCTTGATTGGTCTTCCATTGGAGGGTAAGCAGAGAATCAGAGGCAGTGTCATACCCTCAGCCACACTGAACCAACAAAGGTTTATAAGGATTAACTGCTGGGTTAAAAAAAATTGATACATTTTAGGTATACAGTGTAATGACATTCATCTTTGGAAATTTGTACCTTTATGTAATCTGTCTTGGTTCTTATTTTTTTCCCCCATTACCCTGCCCTCCCTTCAACCCCACCACCCCTCCCCTTTATACAAAGACATTTTTTCTATTTTCTCATATTCCATTCCTGTCTTTCCTTTCTCCTACCCCTCCCACTTCCCCTTCTCCTTTGTCCCTTTCCTTCCTATTTCACATTATCCATTGTACCTTTTAGTCTTTGTTTACACTCAGTTTCGCACACCAGAGAAACATATTTACATGTGTGTCCTATTTATTTCACTTAAAGAGTATTGGCCTAATAAATGGCATCCATTTAGCTATAAATTCCTCTAATTTGTTCTTTATGGCTGAGTAGTACTCCATTTTATTAAAAAATAATTTTTCTTTATCCATTTGATGAGCAATGGGCTATGTCCAAGTTTTAGCTATTACTAACTACTGCTATGAACATACGTGCACATCTATGGCTGTGGTATGATTCTTTTAGTTCTTTTGGGAAGATACCCAGCAGGGGAATAGTTGGGTCAAATGGGACTTCCTAGTCTAGTTGTTTGAGGTACCTCCGTACTGATTTCCACAGTGGTTGCACCAGCAGTGGAGCAGGTTTCCTTTTCCCCCACAGCACTGCTAGCATTTAACTGCTAGGTTTAACAGAACCAACACAAACAGAACTGTCAAAGTTCCCTTGGAAAGGCTCGTGGTCCACAAATTTGTACTGAATTCAAAATTATAGTTCTGTCTTTATCTTTCTTTGTTCAGTCTGGCAGGGCAAAATCTTAGCATACACAATCCTTTCTTACCAAAATACATCCTCATACCCAACATGGTTACATCTTCTTTCTGTCCTATTTATGATTCCATATCATCACATGCCTTGTGTTAATGTATAAAGACACTGGCACTTGCCTTTCATTTCTTTGACCTTTGAGCTGACCCTCAGATACTTGCATTGCAAATAGAACTGGCTGAATAACAGATTTCCAAATAACTTTAAACATGAAAATAATCTTAGTATAAGCAAAAAGCAACTGAAGAACAACCCGCCCCTGTACTTTGAGCTTAAGAACTACCCCAAAGCTGTTTACAAGAAATTCTTTAAGTTTGCCAATTAGAAAAACTGCCCCAAAAGTTAACAGCCAAAATGTGCCACAATGGGCTCATGAGCTCCTCCCATGTTGGGAAGGCTCCATTGCCCTCTCCTATCAGTCAACCTGAGTCTGACTCACCGGTACCCAGACCAGGTTGCATGTGGTCCAAGAGTCGCTTCTCCTGTCTGATGCACAGCTTTGTGTCCTGACTTGTTTCCTGTGCCAGTTCAGATTTGAACTCCAGCTTAAGCTTGTGGTGGTACAGAACCACCACCTGCACCTTTCTGGCAGTGTCCTATCCTAGCACTGACACTTTAATGAGTATTCTAGCTCTATTCCTTCTACATTAACTGGATTATCCAGTATCAACTGGTGCTTAAATACAGCCTTGAAGGCATGGGCATGCACAACTCTAATCCCAGCACTTGGGAGGCTAAAGCAGGAGAAGAATCACTATGAGTTCAAGGCCAGCCTGAAATAGACCGTCTTCAAAACCAAAACCAAACAAACCTTGGGAGAGGGGAAAGGGATTAAAAGATCGAAAGGTGAAAGAAATGGTGAATATAGAGCTTTTGCAAATGGGTAGGGGACCAAACATTGAAAGGCATAGGGAGAGACAAGGATAGAGGATAGTGGGTTGAAAAAAAAAGATGTATTATGTATATGTACCAGCTCCCTGCAATAATTTTTAAGTACTGCAAATATGTACTTAAAAACAAAAAACAGCCTTGTTCTGAGTCCATGTTCATACTAGGGTATGCTGAATGCCTAATGGAACAGGAATTTCTCAATTCAGCTGTAAAATAGTCCAGCTCAGTGGGTAGCTATCTTTTGGCATAACTGTTGTATGTTTGGCATGCATAGCACATACCCTGATTATCTTCATAACACTCAAGTAGGCTAGGGGTGTAGCTGTTCTAGAGGTTTTGATGATTCTTGAAGCAGGCGCTGGTTGACACCCAGCATGAACAGAAAAAAGCTCAAAGGATTTTGTCGTCTCAGAAACCTGCAAAACACCAGTAGGCGTATGCTAGAACAGATGTTTTGAAGTCCTGAAGTTTCTTACCCCAGATGCTGGAAGGAAACTGTGAAAATCAGTTTGGTGGACCTCCAAAGATGGGTAATGCCCATGAGCACCTTCATTCCTGGCCACTAAACACAAAGGTTTCTTTCTGATCAGCAGAGGGCACACGTACAGTGGCTCCTCTAACCACCAACTTCTGTATTCCCTTTGCCACTAGAAGCTTTGCTAGTGGTGGGCTTTGCCTGAACCCTCTTGGGAAAAGTTCACCTTTCTCCTTCAGCTGGGCATCCAAGAGCTAGGTAAGCCCGAGCTGGCCCAATATAGGGACAGCTGCAAACACCTCTACCTATGATACTCACCTGGAATGAACTTGTTTTAAACTATATTGCCTGTAATAAAGTATTGCACTGAGATGAAATAAAATCTTGTGGACAGAGGAAACACAATTTCATGTAAAACATTAAATTTTATTAAAACATTAAACCAATAATATATTTTGAATAAAGCAGCAGCAAGCTGTAACACCAGCAGTTAAATGTAATGATCAAGAAAATGCTATTTTAAAAATACTCACCTTCATGGTACTGAAGATTGAGCCCAGGGCCTTGTACATGCTAGACAAGTACTCCGTCACTGAGCTACTCAGACCCTATTCTGGTTCTTTCAATTACATCCTACAGTATAATAATTGGCCTTTCAATTTCAAAACTGACTTCATTAATGATTTGCTCTGACCTTTACTGTCACTCAGCGTAAAGGTGGTCATCATTTCTCTTGCATTTTCTTCCAGTCAGTCCCTACAGCCTATCACTTAACCCATAAACCCCTCAGTGCCCAATTCCTGGCTTGCTTTACTGCACAACTGTTTGATAGAATGTTTATTCCTATCAAATATGGTGCTCCTTAAGGGCACAATGTACACAAATAAATGTGATTTGTCATAGTTTTACCTTATTCTCTGCCTCTTAATATTTAATTGTAAAAGGCAGACATGACCCTACCTAATGAAGGTAAAGCCTATCCTATTGGCTTTTTCTCAAAAGCCACTGTGAGGCAGAATATTAACAAATTTTAAAATTCAGACTCAAGTGATAAATAGCAAAGCAAACCTCAACTGGGTACTTTATAGCTTGAAGATAATGAAGTATTTCTGAACATCCTTGCACCTTTCATGTATCTCGGGTCATGAGTTTCCACGTATTTTTATTTGGAAATATTCTGCAGAATGTAATATAGTAGTAGAGCTAGAGACTAAGTTGCTCTTCGCATAAATCCTCATCTAGATTTATGATCATTCGGTAACAGCCTTACTACATAAGTGCTTTCCATTTGTATATTTTGATGTCTAGTGTGAGGCTTGTTTTACAAGATTTCTTTTTAGCATTGACTCTGACATCTATTAATGTTTTAACTACTGTTGAATGGCTTAACAGTCATTGCATTTATAAAGAGTCTCTTAAAAATGAAGTCTCTGATGTTTTGCCAGAAGTTGTGACTAAAGACCTTGCTACATTCACTTGTAAGGTTTCTGCTCAGCATGAATTCTCCGATGACTTGCAAGGTTGGAACTTCGACTAAAGACCTTGCCACAGTCTTTACATGTGTAAGGTTTTTCTCCAGTATGAATTGCCTGGTGGGTAGTTAGGCTTGAACGCACACTAAAGGCTTTGCCACACTTATCACACTTGTACGGTTTCTCTCCTGTATGAGTCCTCCGGTGACTCGCAAGGTGTGAGTTTTGGGTGAAGACCTTGCCACACTCATCACATTTGTAAGGTTTCTCTCCCGTATGGATTGCCTGATGGGTGGTCAAGCTTGAATACACACTAAAGGCTTTGCCACACTCATTACACTTGTAAGGTTTCTCTCCAGTGTGGATTCTCCAGTGATTTGCAAGGTGGGAATTCTGAGTGAAGACCTTGCCGCATTCAGAACATTTATAGGGTTTTTCTCCAGTATGGATTACCTGGTGGGTGTTTAAGTTAGAATGTGAATTAAAGGCTTTGCCACACTGATTACACTTGTAAGGCTTCTCTCCGGTGTGAATTCTCTGGTGAATTGCAAGGCTTGAAGTCTGACTGAAGACCTTGCCACATTCATTACACTTGTAAGGTTTTTCTCCAGTATGGATAACCTGGTGGGAAGTTAGGCTGGAACGCACACTAAAGGCTTTACCACATTCATTACATTTGTAGGGCTTCTCTCCAGTATGAACTCTCCAATGCCTGGCAAGATTTGAAGTCTGACTAAAGACTTTCCCACACTCATCACACTTGTACGGTTTCTCTCCACTATGAACTCCTCGGTGACTCGCAAGGTGTGAGTTTTGGGTGAAGACCTTGCCACACTCATCACATTTGTAAGGTTTCTCTCCCGTATGGATTGCCTGATGGGTGGTCAAGCTTGAATACACACTAAAGGCTTTGCCACACTCATTACACTTGTAAGGTTTCTCACCAGTGTGGATTCTCCAGTGATTTGCAAGGTGTGAATTCTGAGTGAAGACCTTGCCGCATTCAGAACATTTATAGGGTTTTTCTCCAGTATGGATTACCTGGTGGGTGTTTAGGTTGGAATGTGAACTGAAGACTTTGCCACACTCATTACACCTATACGGTTTCTCTCCAGTGTGTGTCCTCCGGTGAATTGCAAGGCTTGAAGTCTGACTGAAGACCTTGCCACATTCATTACACTTGTATGGTTTTTCTCCAGTATGGATAACATGATGGTTAGTGAGGTTTGAACGAACACTGAAGGCTTTGCCACACTCATTACATTTGTAAGGTTTCTCCCCAGTATGAATTCTCCGATGACTTGTAAGGTGTGAATTTTGAGTAAAGACTTTTCCACATTCATTACATTTGTAAGGTTTTGCTCCAGTGTGATGTCTCTCATGTACCAAAAGGTATGAACGTCTAAAAAATGCCTTCCCGCATTCGATACATTTGTATAGTTTCTCTCCCGTATGGATTCTCTGATGATGTGCTAGAGATGAGGTATAACTGAAGAATTTGCCACACTCATTACATTTGTAAGGTTTTTCCCTAACATGAGCCTTTTGTCTTTGTGTGACTAATGATGAATAAATAAGGTCATTTCCATATTCCTGAGATATATATGTTTTGACAGTAGAAGGAATTCTGTGAGGCGGTGAAACTGAGGAACCACTGTTGATAGGCTTATCAACTTCATTGCTATCAATTTTTGCTTCAGGCTGAAGCATCTGCAGTTCAGGCAAATGTGACTGAAAGCTTAACGCAAGCCAATTTTTCATAAGCTTGTTTCCTGCATCTCTTTTATCACCTTGATCTCTTCTACCAGTGAGACTTTTTTTCTGGGCAACAAGCAATCCATTGTAATTTTTTATATCATCTTTCCACTGAAACTCAAAGTCATGTATATTTTTATGGACATCCCTAAATGAAAAGCCTTTGATGTCACTCCTTTTATGTCTTTCCAAAATCACTCTTTTGAGTATTTCTCCCATACCGTTTGTCCCTTTTGGTGATGCTCCCTTAATTACACATTTCGGAGAGATATCTATAAGAATCAAAGTAACATATATTTCTAATTAGATTTAAATATTTCACACTGAAAAACTACGATATTTTTAATTAATGAAAGGCAGTTACATATAATTCCAATTAATAGGAAGAAAACCTAGTTTCAAACAACCTATCAATCATCAAAAATGTTAGCCCTCCAAAGCACATATTCATTGGCCGAAAGCACACACTAACTGCCAAAAAGCATATGGCCATCTTATAAATGAAAAGAAAAAAAAATTCACATTCATTATAGATTAATGTTAAAATACCACGTGATATATTGTAATGGTAAATAACCCACAGCAAATTTATGTAATGAGCTAATAAATGGTAACTTTTAATTGCAAAACAGTAAAAGCAGTGGAAAAAGAGGAAGAATTCAATAAATTAATGCCAGAAAAAAACATGTTTTGGAATTTCTGTTATAAAACTATCCATACCTACACACAGAAGGTATTTGTAACATTAACAACTAGTGTGTGACAGCTGTACTGTATAATGCATGCTGAGAAATCATCACCTGTAGATCATCAGCAAAATTACAAAAAAATTCAAGTAAACCATGATAAAATGACCAGGCAAGAGTAACTACATTTATACAAAGTTATAGACTGTAATTATGAATAATTTTCTCTTAAGAAAAAGCATGGCTTGCCAGGCACGGAGGCACACAGGAGGCTGAAGCAAGGTTCACTGTGAATTTGAGGTCAGTCACAGCTATCTAGTGAGTTCAAGTCTAGCCTCAACTACACAGTGAGACTCTGTCTCAAAAAACAAAAAGCAAGGTTTCCAAGAAACAGTATACAAGAAACAGCATATGGTTTTCTTATGTTTCACTGAATACCTAACATTATAAATATATGGAATGAATTAATGTCATGATGTTTATAATGTGGAAATGATAAAAACTTATTACCATATACATCACCTCAAAAATTTGTTAGTTTCTTCTTTGTAAAACATACCCTTTACCAACAACTTCCTGTTATACCCAGCTACCAGCCCATCATTTTCTATACTCCTAGGAGGCCAAGTGGTTTAGATTGCTTATAAGTGAGAATGTAGTATTTTATTTCTCTGCTTGACTTATTTCACTTAGTAAAAGGTTCACCAGATGGATACACGTTGTTGTAAACAGAACTGCCTTCCTTTGATGGCTGACCACTATCCCCATCTGTCTATATACATGTTCTTAATGCATTATCTGTTGATAGACATCAGGTCAATTACGTACCTTGTCTCTTGTGAATAATGCTGCAGAAAACATGGACTGCGAATTATTTCTTGGATATCATGATCTCAAATTCTTTGTATATATGCTCAGAATCTAGATTGCTAGATTACACAGTAATTCTATTTTTACTTAAATTTATTTTGCATTTTTTTATACTGCTGGGGATCAAACCAGGACCATCGTACTAGGTGAGTGCTATGCTTATAAGCTACATTCTCAGCCCTTTTGAGTTTTAAGGAAACCATATAATTCTCCATAACGGCTTTTCTAGTTTACATTTCCATCAACAGTTACTTTTTCTGCAAATGTTTATCAATACTTATCTTTATCTTTCTGACAAAAGCTATTCTGATAGGTAGAAAGTGTTATTAGGCTTAAATTCCCCTTCCCATTGTTAGTGATATCGATCATCTTTTCTTTTATCTTACTCATTTTTATACATTCGAGGAATGTCTATTAAATTATTTTTCCCATTTAATTGTGTCAATGCTACTTGTTTCAGTATTTTTATACATTTTATATATTGATGCTCCACCAGATGTATGGCTTACAAATATTTTCTTTGGTTTGCTTTGCTGCACAGAACCACTTTCTTTTGATGCAATTTACTTTTTATTTTTCCTTCTGCTGCCTGAGCTTTAGGAATCAAATCCCCAAAACCTGCCCAGACCAATGTCAAGGAACAGCTCCTCTATCTACTTTGTCTTACCTGTGTTCCGTCCTTTGCTATATTCCCACCCATTTTTATTTCTTCCTATTTTCATTTCATTTTCCACAGTCCAGGGCTCTCTCCCTTGCTCCAACATGGAAATAACACTCAGGTTAGGAAGAAAGATTCCTATTCATAAACAGAAAGGAAAACAGTATTTTGTGGCTTTTCCAGAATTCAGTTCTATGTTTATGTGAAGACAGAGAACATTACAGCTGGATTTAGAAAAATATTTCACAAAATCACCCATTGATTTATTCCTTCCGGCTTAGGGAATGCTTTAATATGCAGACATCTAGTTCTTTCTCAAGAACTACTGCATCAAAAGAACAGGGAGAGAAAAACAAAGATTTGGATATTTTAAAAGTCTGCCACAAGGGCTGAGGATGTTAATACATTTGCCTAGCACATGTGAGCCTGAGTTTGATCCCCAGCATTACAAAACAGGCAATGTCTTCCAGGAGATTGTGCACGCACTTAAATTGTATAACCACCCTGATGTAACAACAGTAGGCGGAAAACCTAGAGAGGGCATGGCTAAAGTTCAGAGGGTGCTTTTCGATTTTGTCAACAAAGCTTCAACTTCAGCCAGATAACGCAGGGAACCACAGAGGCACATGAGAGGAAACTATACAGAAGGCAGACCCAGTTTCTGGAGGAAGCCGTCCTCACCCAGGGAGACCAGGTTCCTGTAGTTCTCCAACATCACGTCCCTGTATAAAGTCCTCTGAGCAGGGTTCAGGCGTTTCCACTCCTCCCGGGAGAACTCTACGGCCACGTCCCTGAATGTCAAGTGTCCCTACAATGAAAAGCACGTGTCACCAGCAGGCCATGTCCTAGTTATGATCTTCACATAAAGAAAAAAACACGAGCTGTAAAGAAAGATTTAATTGGAGTGAGCGAGCCAAATCCATGCTGTGACGTTACCTGGTCTTGGCGGGTGCTTTCAGACACACAGTTCACTTGGAATCGCTAGGTAATAAAGACGCTGCTGTATGCTAATAAGATGACAAGAGAACCCTGGGTAGTTTTAGGAAGGGGACTGGTCACCAATAAGACTAAGACTAAGAGCCAGGCGAGGTGGTGCACACCTGTAATCCCAGAACTCTAGGAGGTTGAGGGAGAAGGACTGCAAATTTGAGTCTAGTCTGGGCAATGGAGCCACTTAACAAGATCCCGTCTCAAAATAAAGCTTTTAAAAAGGGCTAAGGATGTAGTTTAATGCAAAGGCCCTGCCTTCAACCCCTAGTACAGAAAAAGAGACAGACAGGGAAAGGAAAAGAAGAGGAGAAATGCACACAAATAACCTCTACGGAGGTGTTAGACACGTTTGACCCACCAAGTGCTACACATTCAATAGCGAGGTAAGCTGTGCACAGGTGGTTTCATCAGAGATGAGGGTCCATAGGGATTTTTTTTTTTTTTAAGTCAGAATTTTAAAACCACGAGGACAGCAACAGCAATGACTAAAGCTTGGGAACACTTCCAGGCACCGAGCATTTAACACACACTGTACCAGCTCCTACAGTGACATAACATCCCAAGAGAGAAAGACAGGCACAGGATTTCATCTAACTGAGGATGAGCTGTGTCACAGACACCAAATGGATTTTGCTCAGGTAAATGAGCTAAAAATGAGAGGGAAAGCACCTGTCCCCTGGTGTCTGAGCACTGGAATTGGACCCAAAGAATCAGTGAGGTAACAGAGCTTCCAAAGTAAATCAATAATAGATGACCAAAAGAGGAAAGCTTAAGCAAGCTGAAGGACAATACAGAACTTTGAACAAAGTCACTATATATCTACAGTGCAAGCACATGATACATAGTATTCTTACTACAGTAGTGTCAACTCATTAACATGATAATGCATAGCAAATTTAAGGCTGCAGAAAATAAGATAAAGCTTAACTAGCAAAAACATAAAAACTGTCCTTTATTAAAAAACGTGCTGGATGGGCACGGTGGTGCACATCATAATTCTGTACTTGTGAGTATGAATCCAGCCTGAGTTCATAGGAAGACCCTATCTAACATACAAAGGACAACAAAAACAAAATAAAGAAACAAGCAAACAAAGCCAAGCACAGCTGACCGCAAATTCAAGTTCAACCTGGGCAACTAAATGTCTTAGCCCATTTCAAACTAAAAAGTAAAAAAGGGACTAGGGATATAGCTTGGTGTGAAGCCCCTGGGATCAATCCCCAACATTACATAAAAAAATGCACATCTGAACCAGGCATGGTGGCACATGCCTGTGATACCAGCACTCGGGAGGCTGAGAAAGAAGGATCGCCACAGTTCAAGGCCAGCCTGGAATCAGAGACATATAAACTACCAAAGAACTGAAAATGAGAGTTTCAATCATTCCATACTGAATGATTAAGAAAGCAAACACAGAATGTTAGGAAATCAGAAAAACAATGACTAAAATGAGAATATTAACAAACACAGAAACTATGAGGAAGAACTACAAAGAAATTCTAGAACTGAAAACTAAAGTAACTAAAATTAAACTTGAGAGGTTGAAAAGCAGACCTGACCAGGCAGAAGAAAAAAAGAAATGGATTTACAAAAGATGGCCAGGCATGGTGGCACACACCTATCATCCTAGCATTCAGAAGGCTGAGGCAGGAAGATCTCCACAAGTGTGAGGCCAGCCTGAGCTACTTACTGGTTCAAGGCCAGCTTTAACAACCTCATGAGGCATGGTCTCAAAGAAGGGCAAGAGAGTAAAGGTGGCTAAGAGACTTAGGGGATAACATCATGTGCATCTCACAGGAAGAAAAAGGGGTACAGAATCGATCTGACCATAGTGATGGTCCAAGATGTTCCAAGTTTGAAAAATACAGACCTAACTTCAAGAAGCTTAAAGAAATCCAAGGAGGATAAATGTGACAGATCTAAACCAGAAAACATCATAATCAAAGCATCAAAAGTAAGAGACATGGGCTGGAGATAAAGCTCAGTGGTACAGTGCTTGCCTAGTGTGTGTGAGGCCTTCAGTTCCATGTCTAGCACTCAGGGGCTGGGGGTAGAAATCTTGAGAGCAACAACAGAAAGGTGACACTGTACGGTAGCAAGCTCCTCCGAATATCTAATTTCTCAGCAGAACCCTTGCAGGCTACAAAAGAACTGTGGATGTTCAAAGTGCTACAAGAAAAACATCACCAATTAAAAATACTGCATCCAGCAAAACTACCTGCAAAGACTGAGAAGAAATTGAGAGCCCTCCAGGCAAAAGTGGAGGGACCTGGTCACGATCTCTGCCTTGTAGGAATGCCGGAAAGAGACCAAGTTGGAATGAAACGGTGACAAATGGAGAAAGAAAAGCCTACAAAAATATATAGATCACTTTTAACTGGGGCAGAGAATCTTCCTAAAAGCATAAAAAGAATTATAACTCTACATTAAGGGATACACAACATAGAAAGAGGTAATGTGTGTTACAAAGAACACAATAAACAATAAAATATCAGCTTCAGCCCAATGTGGCGGTGCACACCTACAATCCCAGGGCTCTGCGAAGCAGGAGGATCTAAAGTTTGCACTTAGCCTGGGCAATTTAGTGACTTACCAAGATCTTTTCTCAAAAATTAAATGAAATTGAAAAATTGAAAAACTAAAGAGTAAAACATGAAATCGAAACAAAACAAAACATAGTACTTTACAACCTGTACTAAGGGAAGCTCTCCATGAAGAAATAACAAGCTAACAGTTGGGTGCAGTGGGGCGTGCCTACAAGCCCAGCTATTTGGGAAGCTGAGACAGGAGTGTCACAAGTTCGAGACCAGCCTGGCCAACCCAGACCCTGTCTCAAAACAAAAAACATGCAAGGGCTGGGTTCAATCCTTAGTACTGAAGAAAAACTAAAGTATAGTGTAAAAAAATGAGACTGTGAAACAGGCACGATGGCCCAACCCTCTCAGCACAGTGGAAAGCTAAGGCAGGAAGATTCAGCCTGGGCAACTTAGCGACTGGGACCCTGTCTCAAAATTAAGAAAATCAAAAAAGGACAAGGGGTGCCACTTAGAGAGCGAAGGCCCCAGGTTCCATCCCCTGTCCCAAGACAACAGGGTATACATAAATTAGTAAACTACAAAACATAAATAGCTCCTAAACCACATGAAAATAAAACTGAGCAACATACGGAAATCCTTTTTATAAACATATCCACAAAGCCATGAAAATTACTCAGACTCACAAGGAATTGGCATGTGGAAGTACAAACAGCTTCACTTTTCTCTATACTGTGAAACATAAAGGAACTTAGAAACAAGTCTTACTGGATGGCTAATGTTATCGGTGGAAGACAGTTCCTCCCCCCCACAGGTCTGCTTTTCCAGAACTTAGGAGGTATTTGTTTATATTAATAAGTGACTTCATGAACGTCTTCCATCTACATCCAGACGTGCCCAAATCAATCCTGTTGCCCACAGCACTGACACAGGCCCCACATCTGTCTCCGCTCCCTGCCTTGGCAGGAAGCCCTTCCCAGGACCATGAGCAGTGCAGTCCCTTCACAGCGCAGGTCCCGGCCACTGACTGCAGTGAGGCGTCTTAGTGGACATCAGAGGGCTGAGAGTGGCCCAGGGAAGACTGAGCAAGCAAATGACAGAATCAGAGGGTCGCAGCTCCCATGCACAGCACTTCGGGATGGAGGGAGATGAGAACAGGCGACTGACAACATCACTTTACCTGACCAAGAGCCATTCCGGACTCCTGTTCTTCCTGCCTCCTCCTCTTCCAAACTCCCGCAGGCAGCACGAATTTTGGGGAGTCAAACCTGAATGTTGAAAACACACAGTTAATGCTCAGAATGGACACATGCGCTTCCTGTACCACAGCCTCACACACAGGGAGGACCAGGCACTGCATACGGAGGGGGTAGAAGGGCGGTGGGGTGGGGGGACACCGGGGACCTCATATGCAGGGACACACACTCCTGCAGGAAGACCAACAAGAGACTTCTTGACACCTCAGAGCTCACTCCCTTCCAGAGGACTTCGCCAGTGCACAGACCCAGCGCTATCCAAACCGAGCACGGCACACCCGCCTCATTCTCTGGATCACCAGCTGATCTTGGGCCTAAGAAAGGCAGGACACAGTCTGTGCAGAGAACAGAATCCACTTTAATATATTAAGGCTTGGTCCCAGGCTGACCAAGGGAAAGGGACTCTCTGGGAGGAGCCAAGAGGACAAGCCCAGCCCCCCTCCCACCTTCTAGCTCGGCTCTCCCTTTGGAGCCTTGGTGCCCCCAGGATCCAGGCAGTGGACTGGGAAGGATCAGAAACTTGCAGAGGCAACATTTACCAGAGGTGGGGTGGGTGTGTGGTTAGGATGTCACTGGAAGCGGGAGAGGCCACAGAAGTCTCCGTGAAGATGCTGATACCAGAACAAAGACCTAGGAAAGAAGGTGTCTGCCACCTGCAGCCGATGTGCCAGTGAGATCTATGCTCAGACAGCATAGAAGGCATTGCCTAAACAAGGAGCTACAGTGTCCCCAGGGAAAGGCAAGAGTCCTGTGTGGCCGGAGCAGTGAGCAGGGAGGATACTGCAGGAGAGGAAGGCAGGGAGGGACTTCTAGAAGTAGAACAAATTTGGCCGAAACTGGCAAACTTCTCTCCTGAAGCTCAAAGGAATCTTGAAATTAGTTTCCATGCCTGTTTTAAGTATGTAATTTTAATTTATTTTATAAGTGAAAACACAATCTTTCATCTTCTATATTACAAATAGTACGGGCAGAAGGCTGAGCATGTGGCTCAGTGGTAGAGCACTTGCCAAGCATGCATGAGGCCCTGGGTTCAATCCCCAGCACCACATAATGAAAAAGAACAATAAAAGTTACATAATTTACTGATTAATTGATTTTTAAAATATACCCAAGAGATATTCAGCCAAGTCCCAGGAAGCACAAAGTTATCCAACCTGAGCTGCTGAGGATTACACAGGGTCTACCTACCTATTCATCTGCATCCTTTTTATCAATGGGTAAACCTTAGTAGTGTTTTCCTGAATGTTGTGAGAAAATCTGACAAATTAACCTGAGCAGCTGCATCATGGGGATCCCTTATTTAGAGCCCGTGAGACAGCAGTTTAGGTCCCAACCTGGTACTACATACAACTGACATCAGGGTGGGATCAGATGCTGTCTCCAGGGAGAGACTGTCAGATCCAAATTAACTCAAAGAACGCTATACTGGTGTTTCAGGAAGTGCATTCTCAATCAGCCGAAATCCTAATACAATTTCACGACCAGAAGTGGAGTACTCTGTGCTGTTGTGTTCACTATCAAGTTCAAGGAGGAAAACCACTGTTTTCCTTTATCTCACTCCCAAATCACAGTCCACCCCAGGAAAACAGGGTAACCCGCAACTGAAAGCAGTCAAATCACCACCTTCATCCTGAATAGTGACTACAAAGGGGAAGCTATCCTCTAATTTCCAAAGCTGCACAACACACATGCCTTACAGGCAGGAGTTCAAGTCTCCTTTTCATCTGTACGACTCAAACAAATTTAAATTCATTGAGTTGTACGGAAATCAATATGTCACAACTTAAGGATGTATATCCAATGGACCACCGCCGTCTAGATCCAGGGCCCCCTCCTCCTCCCCGCTTTTCTCCCTGCCTGCTTTTCTCTCTCATTCTAACTTCTCTCCAGCTTTTCTTTCCCTTTCTCACCTCTACTACAATTTCTTCTCATTGTGTTTCCCTCTCTGCCACTATTTCTCACCCAAGTTCCTTCCCCTCCATCTTTTCTGCCTCATCCTTGTAACCCCTTTCACCTCTAGTCCCTCTTTCACCTCGGTCGTCTGATTGCTCCCCATCTCCATCTATTTCTGCCTTTCTTCCCTCATCAACGCTTTTCATCCCCCGGCCTGGTGCAGCCTCCTCGTCACCCTCTCTGGACGCCACACCCCCTTGTCCCCTGCCACCCCTTCTTGTCCTAACACCTCACTGTCTGCCAAGGCTGCAGATCATCTCTCCTCTCCTCCTGCTCTCCTCAGCGCCTCCCCTTTCCAGCCCCATCCCTCGTCTCTCTGGAGATGAACATTTTTAAATTTCTCTATTTGCCATCCCCCGCTTCTTAGCTGCTTCTTTCACTCTCAGCATTTCTGCCAATCCCTCACCCGTCCTCTACCCGCCATCTGTTTATGGGTCTATTTCTCCTGACCCCTCTGCCCACTGCTCACAAGGGAGGGGAGGGATGAGAAGCCGCCTCCCGAGGGGCACATTTTCCCCAGGGATGGAACTTAGACAGCAAGAACCCTGAAGTCACAGCACAGGACACGCCACTTCCCCTGCACAGAGGAGACTGCGAGGGGAGGCCCGGGGGGCGGGCCC